CCTCCCCCTCAGGCTGCAACCTCTGCAGTTGCGCTGGGATTCAATGGACAGCGTCCCACGGAGTGCTCCAAAGACTGCCTGCTCCGACAAATTAATCATAAATACACATAAATCAAAAACGAATTCTTGGCCGAAAATTTACAAGCTGAAATCTATATGGGATCAACTTCCTATTACATGCACCCTCGGCGGACTTTTGGCCAGCTGCCTGTAATTTTGAAGGGCTGGCATTAAATACCGGTTAAGTCGGCACGACAATCTGATCGGCTTAATCGGATCAGCTAAATAATAGACCCCTCCTGAAGGGCCATATCTAATAGTGGTCCGTTTTGAAGGAAAGTTGCCAACCCAAATCTGCTAAAATGGGAGCTTCTGTCCTAAGTCCTTCCAACGACCAATCCAGATGTATTTTGACTCCCCGCAAGGTGAAATCTTAGGGCTATTGATAATACGCCAAACTTTGACCGGGTAGTTAAAATCATAATCTTCGCCAAATAATGAAAACCAAAAATCTTAAGTTTGGCGTTGGTTGCTCAGAAAACGACATACCCTACATGTAGCAACGTAGAGTGGAGGGCCGTAGCTTCCAGTGTTTCATCTATAACAAAAGTACTCTAGTCCACTTTATTTCGAGGACACATAAACTCAGTTGGGACAACCTAGTTGCTTTGAACATTAAGTCGCACTCACTTACAAAAACGAGGTAATCATCGAATAAATAACGCTATCCACACCTACATAAATGCTATCATAAAGGAAACAAACGATCATTCTGGTTTACATTTGTGTATTTAAAACAAAATAGCTGTACATGTGTATGCAGAATAGGGATTTGGAAATAACTGTACAATCATAGAAGAAGACTAACAGATCTCCAGGGGCTTTGTCTGAGAACTACCTCGCTTTTTTGATTTCTTAGATTTTTTGGGGACACAATCAGATCCTTCTTTCTTCTTTTTATGTTTTCGCTTCTTATGCTTCACTTTTGTCTCAATGTAATCGCCATCGGGAAGCTCATGGAATTCCCCATCTGCTTCGTCATACGCAGCACCCTCCGCCTCCCGCAGAGCACGAGCAGCTTTTCTAGCACTAAGAAATGTCACAAGTACGAAATAAAAACTACCGTTTCCTCTCGTGTTTCAATTTGCGCTTTTGTTCCTTCTTCAAACGCCTTAGGGTTCGAGCATCGAGCTCCTCAACTTCAACTTTTCTAGGTGGACTAAGCTTTCGAGTTTAAGTTCGCGACTTACCTTGGGTTGTGAATAAGATCCCGTTGAGTGGCTTTCTGGTCACATGATGAAAATTCCTTATTTTCCAACAAAGAGGATACATCGCCTGGGGACGGTAAGTGATAGGAGAGCTGGGGAGTCGGCCCTGGACGAAAATATTACGAATAAAGCAAAATACCTCTGGATGATGCCGTATCTGAAGCCGCGTATTCAGGGACGACTGACGCATGCGGCGAACTGTAAGGATAATAACAATAAGGACAAGTCAACAATTGGTAGGTTCATACGCATCTTAGGACAAAGCAACAAAAGTCTGGGGTACAAGATGGAAAAATACATGCAAAATTAGATATCAGGAAGAAAATTAACTATGGAATTCAAGATAATCTCACGTCAATTACATTATGCAGCATTGCTGGCCACAGTCAACAATGGGTTTGCGTTATGTGAAGGTGTAACAAAATGGGCTCCTTAGGTTTTGGTCATAGTCGAAAATTTTAGTTTGTTCTAGTTTATCAAACTTATCAAATGAACGAGTATGCAAAAAAAAATCCGGGTGTTTGCTTAGGTTAAACTAGGGATTTTCGTTGCCAACTTTTGCAAAGGCTTGCAACATTTGAAGTTCTTTTGTTTAGATAACGATTTGACAAGATTGTAAAGAGAAACATATTGATGAAAAAAAAGCGTAGAACGTTCCAGACTGCAAAAAAACTATCACAAAGACTCACCGTTCGTGTGGCGACTGCCTGCCTCTCTCCGGATTGATGAAAAGATCGCGCTGCCTTGAGTTGGGTGAATATGACAATTCCCGGTCCAAAGTGTGTTGTATTCTAGACGGGGAAGCACGGCGGCGAGATACTCGGGAAGGACGATCAAGGTCGGCTACCGAAGACTCATTGACACAATTGTTGGCACGGAAGCGGCCACGCACTTCTCGGTCATCGGTGGGAGATACTTCTGTGGCATATGGCTTACGGGCAAACCTGCCATGGGATGAATCTCGCTCAACTAGTCTTTTGCGATCTTTCCTACGACGCCATGCATCATAATCCTCGATCGGTTGAGGGGAGCGACTTCGAGACCGTACCCGGCCATAACGACGACCCCGAGAACCGTGTCGGTCTGTGTTTTCATGGGACGAATCACGAT